TTCAGGTGAAACCAATTGAACAGGTAAAACCTCAGAATGTTGACCATTTCCAAGAGACACATGCACTGGATGTGCTTTACCAGCCCCAGCTACAACAAGTGCAATGTTTGCAGACGCATTGATTACAGGGAAAGTAAATGTGATTCTTTCTGGTGGTGGCTTTGGTGATTCCTTGATAAACGTAACCCACTTGTTCTTCTCTTCAAGTAGAGGATGCCCAGGAAATAAAGATGCCACGTGTCCATCTGGGCCCATACCCAACAGCATAACATCAAACTTTGGAATCCCGGTTGTTTCAGATGTGGCGATTATCCCGTTGTGAACCAGATGCTTGATACAGGTCTCGTAGTCTTCTGCTGCACCCTCTGCTGATAAGGCATCGTTAATGGCGTACACATTTCCAGGAGGAATCGGCACCTGAGCAACACAGATTGAAAACTAATTTATACAAGAACAAGACAATGCTTTTTTTTTTTTTTTTTCTATACAAATTGATAATCTTGATAAACATACCTTGGAGAGAAAACCATCAAATGCCAGAAGGTAATTGCTATCTGGATGATCCTTAGGAACCACTCTTTCATCCACCCAGAACATATGCCATTTCGCCCAATCTATCGAATCAATGTAAGGTGCTTCCACTAGTTTCCTTTAATTCCAATTTCAAAAACATCCATCAAATATCAGTCCCAAATTCAGTAAGAACAAATACGCTTCTTTTTGACATTTACCTGAGCGACTTGATCAAAGATCCACCAGACACAACCACCGTGAAGGAACCCTTCTGTTTGACGAATTTTTCCGACAAATCGGCAGTGTATTTTGCAAGAGACACCGATAGAGCTTCTTCAGAATCAAATACCTGTACTTTCTTCTTCTCAGTTGCCATGTTCGCAGACGTTGACGCTTTTGTCTTCAAACAGCTGAATCTTTTCGAGCAGTGGGTGACGCCGATTGCTGAGATACTGTGATTTGGAGGTGCGGAAGAGAGGATCGATCGATTCGTCACCGGAATCCACGACGACGGAGATCGTAAGGGCAATGGAATTGGAGAAGTGCGTTTGGGTGTGCGCAGGGGAGCAAAAAGAGTTTGCGATGAAGATGCCATAGATATGATGTGCACCCTTTTGTTGACTTCAACAGACAGGGTCGATCCACCGGCGTTAACCTAAAACTTTTCACGTGTCCGTCTGATGACTTTGCTTTGTGGGCCAGAAAATAATCGTTCAGCTTAGGATTCTCCACCATTAATCATAAGAATAGTATTTTTTTTTTTTTTCTACAACTGATGTAAATCCAATACTAGTCAATCTCGTCTTTTTAGTTCTTTTAAAAGATTTTAATTTTAAAAAAAGCTTGAATTAAAAAGACTTGCAACCAATTACAAATTTTAAAAGATTTTATTTTAAATAAAATGCTATTAATTCAAAACGAACTATAAATTGTTTTTAAATATTTAAACTTGTCAGTTTTCATGTTTTTATGTCGTTTTATGGCTATCGTTTATATCTTATACAAGTTGTAATTATTAGTTTTGTCATAATACCGAGTAGTTTATATAATTATATCAAACTAGATGTGAGATCCGTATACTACACGAGTTTATTAAAAATAAAAATTTAATATCAATATTTAAACATTAAATATTTTATAAAATAACATTTTTACATAACATAATGCAATCTTTTGAAACATTTATAAAAGAAATCAAATGTTCATTAGAACATTTATGAGATTTATTATCAAATTAATAAAATGATTATTTTTCCTTATAAAACTCCTTCGATTTTTATAGAATTTTATTTTAAAAAAATAAAAATTCGTAAAAAATAACAAGTGGAAAATAATAATTCTAAAACTCCTACAAAATTACATATAGTAAAACTCTTAAAAATTTGACAAGTGACCAAAAAATCTTCATTTATTAGAGATGATACATATTGGAACAACCGAACAAGCATCTAGTTTTGTCAAATCGTACTTAGATCTAGAAATAGTTTTCAGGTGTGTATCCAAATTCCGCATAATCATTATGCAACACATATGAGTATGACAACCCAAAAGTCGTAGCATGTGAGATAATAAGGCTGGAGTGTGGCACACACTCCCTCATTTTATCACACCCCCTTACCACACTCAAGGAGTGGTATACCATAGAGAGAGGAAAGAGAAAGAAGAAAGAGATAGAGAGAAGGAGGAAGAGAGAAAGAGAAAGGAGCGCTCCCAAGAATGGACGCACTCCCAAACCGCATAGAGGGGGCGGTGTTTCCTATGCCACATAGGTGTTATGTCATCCTTACCGCACTCCACTCCTTCTAGTCTAATACGAAGATAATTTCTTTTAAATGCTTTATCTCAAGTAGGTTCAACATTAAACCATTCAAGAGGTGATCGATCATCTACATTACTATTGCCAACAATTTGCATATGAACAACAATTTTAATATTCGGTAAGTTGATTTTTTTTAGTTTTTCTGTGAAGTTTTTTTTAACCTAATGTCTAACCCAACAGATTCGTCGTTTTTTTTTACCATCAGGGAGGTTTATATTTGATTCCTCTCTCTTCCCATTTTTGTATGCAGGTCACAAAACCTGGGCCCTATCATGTCATAGGTTTTTTCTTAAGTCTTCCAAGTTCCCATTCAACTTTTCTTTTTTACTGCTTTGGTCTATATTATATTTTTTCTAGCAATCTGATAAAAAAAAAAACAAATTTTCTTTTTTATAAATTTTTTTTAAAGCTTGATTTTTTTTTTTTTAATTTATCTTATTACAACTTTTTTTTTTACATATTCATTTTCTAATTTTTTTAAATATTTGTTTTCATAGGCATAGAATTGTAAAAACTCGTTTGCTACTTATTGGCTCTATATTTGATAAAAAAAAATCATTTTACAAGCTAAATTATTATTATTTTTTTTGACTTGTTAGTATATTTTATAAATAAATAAATAAATAAAATGATTACAATTTATAGAAAATTAATAATTTGAGAAATATAACATGTGTATACGAATGACAAATTCGAATACAAAGCTTTATAAAACATTGTAGGTAGATAATGATAAATTTGTTAATTGTGACAATTTGAAATAGCTAATTCAAATGAATAGTGCTTATCATAATGTTGTATGTTAATAGTTTTTTATTTTTTTATTTTTTTATGTTAACCAATTGTGATGCCATTGGAGGCCGTCCATTTTCAAATCTATTTTATACATATTAAATATAGCAAAAAATATTTGTTAATATAAAATGACCTGCATTATCTCTAGGTCTTGTTGGTAATTTTAATATGATCAGACCATTTAGCATCATCAAAATTAACTTTGAAACAACTTGATGTTATATTGTAAGTTAGGAGTACGGGATACACACTTGCATAAACTGGATTGATCTAAACATAAGTATGAGGGTTTGGGGCATCTTCACGGTCTCGTTAGTATTTTCCCACACATCAACCAACTTGTTTGTTTGTTTTCTTGTTTTTCATATGTGGTGTTGTAAAAAAGGGATGACTCTAGTTTGGTTATAATTAAGCCCTAGTTTAGGGCCTCAACTACTAGAGGGCACCAATTGGCCCAAGATATTTAGGCAAAATAGAAATACCGATTCCTTATATTTTCTGAGTTAACCTACGTATGCCACAAAAATCAACAACTAAATTGATTAATTGAAAGTGACTATTCTTCTTCCCTCTCTTCTTATTCTCGATTATTGAAAAAAAATACCTTCTGTTTCTTCAATCTTCACTTTTAATTCTTCTTCTCTTCCTTCTATGTTCTTTGATTGATTGTCCATTTTCTGAAAAATAAATACATCGAGCTTCTCTTTGTATTTCTTTCTATGTCCTCCGATTCTCCATTATTGATCTGCACTTGATTGTTCAAAAGACTCAAAACTTCAAGGTTGTCGTAGTGTCATTAAAAAAGACAAGGGCAATATTTAAAGATCAAAAGAACTAAAACAGTAAGTCCAATCCAGTGTTTTAATTTTTCAGTTTTCAGTAATTCAGTTTTCCATTGATTAACGCTAAATCGGCTATTAACCATTGTTCATGATTATAGAAGGGTTTGAACGAGTCCACATTCTCAAAAACGAATTTGTGTTTTGCATTATCTTCTATTTAACTATTTTCTAGGTTGTCCTTTGCTAACTTGGAACTAAGGTAAAGCAGTGACTTTCTGTTTATTTTTTGTTCAATTGTATTTGTCTACTTGTTTTGGTGATTGAAAATTTAATCAAATATTCAATAATCCTGTTGAAAGAAAATACGAATAAGGGGCTTCAACTCCACCATTTATAAACTGTTTAATTTATTATTGCCGATCCGAAGCCCGGATAAAGGAGGTGAGTTTATAACATTGAGTATAGTAAATGTCAAAGGGCCCCAAAATTTTGGTTCTCTTAGTGCCTTCAAACTCGTTGAGCCGCGCCTCTGTAAAACCATATTCATTTCATACATGTAGTGTTATTAAAGCATTAAAAACATGTAAAAGTTTGTTTTTTTTACGTGTATATTTGTTTTTTCACAAACCAAAGTGGAAGTAATTAAAGATAATCCTACTTCTATTATACATAAACAAAATTTCCACAATATCACACCTAGTGTTATCTAAATTTTACATAAATTTTGCAAACAAATATTTAGCAGGGCGAGTTAATTAATTTGGGGATATCCATAAGCATGATGATGAGTCCAACATGTATTAGTGAATAGTGATACTTACCGGTGAAGCTTACAAGTTGAACCCACTTGAATATAATTAAAATTTAAAACAACACAACCACATGCACCAATCCACCATCACTCCTATACCTTCTCTATCTCTTGTTCCTACTGTCATAATTCATAAACTGCCTGCTTTCCTCTAGCAGTCCGTCGGGGTCTTCCTCTTGTAGGTAGATATGTAACCACGCCACTGCTGCAATTACTTCTGTCTAACATTCTATGAGAACATCAGCCTTTGCCATTGAGTACTATGGCCCAGAAAACATGTATGCTTGCTTCTCCATCGCCGTTGCCACATGATTTATCCCTAGAAGATACTTCTTCATATTACCTCCGTTCAATCCCAGTCACCGATTTTGCAACGTTTTCGGTTGTAGCCTTCCTTCTCCTCCTCTCTCTCCTCTCCCTATTCTGTATCTTTCACCTCCTTCTCAAATCCCGTTCTTCCCTCCACCTCCGGAGTTTTAACAACCTATGGACCATCCGCCTGCTTCTCGTCGTCTTGGTCGCCTGTTGGGCCCTTACTCAGATCCTCCGCCTCCCCTTCATCCGAGAACCCTTAACCTTCTCAAAACAAGCCTACCTATGCAAATTCCACATCGTGCTTTCTCTTGGTTTTCTCGTCACCCTGCTTTATCTGATCAACCTCTCCATCAAGCAACGAAACCCGTCAGAAAAATGGTCTGTACTGCTTTTGGTTATGTTAATGACCCTACCAATGTTGATTCTACAAATAATCTTGTTGTTCTTTACGCCATTGAAGGAGCAACTGCCATGGGTGTTATCTGTTGATAGTTTCGGGAACAAAAGGATGATTTGCACATACCCATTGCTAAGCAGTATTGTTTTCTGTGCGTTTGCTATCGTATACTCAATGGGGTTGTTGCTAGCTTGTTGGCGGGTGGTGTTATTGGTGATCAATAAAACCATCAGGTTACGAATTAACATGCTTGGGATGACAGTGATGATGGCACTCTTGGTTCAGACTTTGTTCCTTGGGGCGGAGTGGTTATGGATGCCGGAGAACATAGGTCTTAGCGTGGTGTCTTTGGGGATATTTCTGAGTGTGGCGGTTTGTGGTGTGGTTGGGGAGATTATGTTGGTGATTAAACCCATAATGGAAGCTCTGGACACAGGAAAAACTACTTGAATCCTGGTGTAGGGATGGTGTGCAATTTGCAAAGAGACCAATACTAAATGCTGGTTAGTTTGAACCAGTGTCGGATAACGGGGATCCACTATATATATAGTCTCCGACCAATGCAAGCAGTTTCTGGCGACTCGCAGGTTGTGTCTCTGGCTGCTTTTTCTTGGTGATGCTGGCCGGCGGCTAGGATAAGTTAAAAATTGGGAAATTTGATCTTTTTGTGCATAATGCTACAAAAAAGTCCATTTTAACTTTCAAATGAGACCACTAAAAAGTTAATAATGTAAGAACCATCATTTTTATTTTATAATTCTAAGCATTTTGATTTTTTTTAAAGTTTTCATTATTGAACAAAAAACAAGGATTTTAACATCAAATACATTGATACTATATTAGAATCGATCAAACATTTTATCCTACATTTCTAAATCTCCAACTCTTGAACACTTTCAAACTCTCCCACCAACACCAAATTCACTGTTACCGGCTGCCACCATCGCCAACCACTAACACCATCATCCGCCACCAACTCTTAGTCGTTGTCTGATACCAACAGTGAACCACCACCTTCACCTGTTGTCTCCGGTTGTGTGATTCCGTCGACTCTCTTTTGTGCTTTTTCTAATATCTATTTAGATCTATATGATTCGGTGGTTTTTCCTCGTCTGTGATTGTGTTCGTAGTCTAGATCTTGTGAGATCTACAATCTTTGCCTTCTAATATATAACACACGCCTTCCGATCTGTCTTCAATGCCTAATCGCCACCTCTTGCCATCGTTGTCAATCTCACCACCACCGACTATAACATTCACCTTCAGATATGTCCAAACCTACGATATTCTCTTCTAGATCTAAGATTTATGCTTCCTAATCTAGCTCGCCTCTAGTTGTGACGCTCATGTTTCTGGGCTAAAACATTAATGATGGCGTAATAGTGTAGGTCAATATTTGTAACTTATTTTGAAGTAATAAAGAGGAATTATGTGAATATTATGTTAATTATGCACTTATTTGCTTAATTATTATGATTAATGAATTAAGGATAAAAATAAGTGTCGAAAATAAATATTAAATGAAGTTGATATCTAAGGTTAAAGTTGTAGTGATCGAAACAAGGATGTCGTAGATATAAAGAATACCGAAACCCGAGTTATAACGAACAAGTTATGACCTATCGAAGTTTCGTGATAGAACCGACACGACGTTGTGTGACGTAAAAAGTGAATTTACGATAAAATGATTTTTAGCATTAGCAATCTAAACGAAAGTCGAAGGATTTGTTAAACCGAGAATTTAATAAAAAGAACGCCCAAATCTGACTTCGTATGACTAAGTTATGATTTTTCTAAGTTTCAGCTTAGCAGTATGCAACCCGAAACTCAAATTTTAGATCGAGTGGTTTTTAGCCAAAATAATCTAAATGAGAATCGAAGATCTTGTTGATTGTAGTTTAACGGTAAAAAGACAGATGGAAACGGACGTCGGATGAAAAAGTTATGAATTTCTAACGGACTTTTCCTGTCATTACCTGTTAAAAATATAACTTTAAAAATAAATTAGCCAACGAAGTCTAAACGAAAGTTGTAGATCATAGTCTCACCTACACGTGTATATAAACAACGTTAAAAACGAAGTTCGTATGCGAAAGTTACGAATTTTTGAAGTTTGAAACTGGGAGTACGCTCAGCGTACGAAAGGAATACGCCCAACGTACTCGTGTACGTAACTCGAAGTCCGTCACCTCCCCTACTCCTTTGTATGAATGCCACATGTCATAGCCTTACTGAGTCTGGAGTTATCCCTCCATACGCCCCGCGTACCATGATGTACGCCCAACGTACTGCTTGAAGTGGGAGTACGCCCAGCGTATTCTAAATGTACGCCCAATGATAAGTCTATTTTATGAATGTACTAAATTGTCATAAATATGTTGAATTGATGTATAATTGTCCAAGAATGACACTACTTTGATGAGTTGTTGGAATTCATATGAAGGTCCATATATTGTACTAAAAGTTTTTTAAAACCCACAAGAAAAACGAGCAAGATGAAGTTAACAAGCATGGGAGATGAATTGCTAAAAAAATGAAGAAAAATGGTGCTGAAAAATTTGACCACTCTTAAATGTTTTGATCATATCTCATGATCTAGAGCTCCAATTGACATGAAGTAATAAGTTTCAGAAACTAGACAAAATTTTCTACAACTTTCATGTCTTGCGTTTTTGCTGATTCTACCGTTTTCATCGCCAAAAAGGGGCAACAAAGATTAGGAACGTCTTAGAACGCGTCTAAGACGCCCCCTAGGACGCCTACCTAGGCCATTTTCAGGTGCAAATCAAGGATGGCAGAAGTCATGTAAAACGCCCTGAAGGATGCCCAGACGTCCTACTACCTAACATCTAAGACGCCTACTAGGACGTCGATGCGGAAATCAGCTCCGAAAAAAAGTTTTTCAGCATCTATTTAAAGGAGATTTAACCCTAATCGACGGAGGACTTCTCCCCTGCGATTTTGCCCAGTTTTGGAGGGTTCCAAACACATTCAAACCTTCTCTAAACACGTTTTTGATCACTCCAATCTGGATTCAAGATGAGAAATCATCAAGTTCATCGGGATTCAACATTAGAAGATTGTTCAAGCAAGGATCTTAATCATCTCCACTACAACTTCAGAATTTCCTTACTTATCCATTAAATTTTTATTGTTTCAAGCTTTGATAATCATTAGGTTATAACTGTTTCATGATTTAAAGTTTTTTTATTGGATTTCATTATGCATTTTATTTATTTCATCCAAGTTATTTGTTTTATGAAATCAATGGAAGACTAAACCGTTAGGGTTACTTCCGGGGATGTTAGGACTTTTGGATGAACACACTTGATTCTAATTAATTTCAATTGTTGTTTTATGCTTCATGTGATGATCTTTGGTAATGATAATTGAAATTGGGTTTTATGAATTTGTTTGATGTCATACTTAAGATAGTCTATTGTTAATTCATCATTTGTTCCAAGTTCAAGTAGTTTATGAATAAAGACAAGTGATTGAATCAACATATATTATTCCAACTTATGATATTGAAACTTAATATGGTAATAGGTAATTGTAAGACACTTTATTGCTAATTCACTAATTGTTCCTAATCCATTTAGACATAGGGAGTAAGACAACTAGTTGAATGAACATATTGTGTGGCCAAAGTTATGGGTTACAAGATAATAAACCCCAATTGCATTTATGTAATTGAACTAGGATTATAGGGAAGAAAGTGTGTGAATCTAAATTGTCCATAACTGAACCGGGAGTACCTTGCCTTTTTCATTGAGAGTTTCGTTTTTATTAATAAGTTTCCAAGATTTTGTTTAAATCTTTTTCGTGACAATTGCTAGTATTAGTTTTTCGTTAACTATTTTAACACAAAGTTTGACCACAACCTCATTGTGGATTCGACCCTTACTTACCCTAGCTATCTAGTGTGTGTGAGGTTTATTTTTGACCGAGACAATGACCTCGATCAAAATTTGGCGCCATTGCCGGGGAGATTGTGTGCTTAAACTATTGTGTTGAAGCAGTGCTGACCCAAGGCATGTTCAAAATGTTCCACTAAACAAGGCCCAATAAAAATCTAGGGCCTAATTTTATTTTGAACTAGGTTGTAACCCGTGGAAACCACGGTTCACAAAGTAAAATAATGTATAAACTATAAAAATCGTGGAAAACACAGTTCACAAAATGAAATAAAATAAATCTTTGATGATGGTGAACCGCTCTGAATCATGGATTGGTGGAGAAAAAACAGAATCCCCATAGACGGTTCTGATTTACCATGAACCATTGTTATACTCTAGTCACAATTTATTTTATATATATATATATATATATATATATATATATATATATATATATATATATATATATATATTATTTGTGTATTATAGCATCTTACTTTCATTAGTTTCTATTACGACATTCTATTGCTACATTTCAACCACACATTTTATATTTTCCTAATATAGCATTGTTTTTCAAAAGATCTACTTAAATATAGTCGGGCATCATGCTTCATATTTTTCTAATATGAACAATTAATAAATTATAAAGAATTACAACATATTGTTATTTCAAATTAATAAGACCATGTTGTACAATGAAATAGAAAATTAATTAAATTGAAAAAAAAACACCGACAATCAATCATGGAAAGAACATTGTTTTATCTGAAATTAGTGTAACTCAACTATATCTTCATACTTTAATGTATTTACCTACAACAACAAATATTCAACAAAATAAAGTACAACGAAATATTATGATCAATGCACGTAAGATGGTATAATAATTTTAAAAAATAAGCTTTTTGGAATTGATTTTATTTAGAGCAAGACACTAAAGAAAACTAAAAAAAAAATATCAAACAATAATCTAAATAAAACAACTTTTTTGTATTTATTTCATTTATTACATGATAAAAGAAAACAAATAAACAAATATATAAAAGCAACAAATAGCAGAAAAAAAGCAAATATATAAAAAGTTTACATATTTAGAGGAAGCAGCAAAAAAAATAGAATGTTTGGTGCTCTTTACTATAAATCACAACAGAAAAGGAATAAAAAGATTATTTAATCGTTAATTGGAATGCAAGAATCAAAGAAAAGCAAGTAAATTGATATAACATGCAAAAACATTTTTAGACATTAATTTCATTTACAGTAAGCAAAAAAAAATCATATAAATAATTAATTAAAGTTTGTCGCTATTTACAACACAAGAATAGAAAGTAAGATGCTATAATAACCAACTTTTTAAGGGTAATTATTATTTTTAGAACGGCGACAAATTAAATAAAGAACCAAAGACATCAGCAGGAAGTTGGACCGATACAGTGAGTTCAAAGCATAAACAAAGATTACAATAACAGGAGATTCAAACAACACCAAGTTGTCAAATAGTTAAAGCGAAATACATAAAAAATGCGGTTCAAGAGCAATTTCAAATCC